AAAAGTGGTTTATATATCTGTGGAATGACCAGGGTGAGACAAAGGTCTCTTGTCTGCTGGATCTAGGTGTGAATGTTTCAACTGACCACCTTGATTAGCGTACAATGGCCTGACTGTGCCTGGAGCAAACTTTTGTTGAGAGGTGATTAGATGTCCTTGTTTGTTTCCTCTCTGTTGTTGTGCTGTTGTAATTTTAGAGTTTTCTCCTTTCTGTTGAAATTGTCCACATGCTTGTGTATTTCAATGGCTTGTGTATTTCAATGCTTGTGTATTTCAAAAGCAGATCATGTAGTCTGACATGGTGGTTGTGAAAGTGGTCCAGCATTTCTGTGTTCTCAAATAAAATGCTGTGTCCAAGTTGGTTCATCAGGTGCTCTGCTATGGCTGATTTCTCTGGTTGGAGTAGTCTGCAGTGCCTTTCATGTTCCTTGATTCGTGTTTGGGCAATGCTGCGTTTGGTGGTCCCTGTGTAGACTTGTCCACAGCTGCATGATACACGGTAGACTCCTGTGTAAACATTGGGCCTCTACATTGTGTTCTACATTGGGTAGAACAAAATCTGGCTACCAGTATTAAAAAACTCTAAAATTGCAACAGCACAACAACAGATATTTGAAAGGAACGAGATCTCTGGAACGACATGGTTTGTTTTGTATCTCTTTTGCTTCTTTCAAGGAGACTCTTCTGCTTGTTCTTCAAATCTTTATGCAGCATTTCTGCATTACACCGGTCGCCTTAGGCAAGATAACCTCCTTTGCCTATTCTGATTAACAATAGGATGTCTGCCAAGGGGGAAAATGAATATTAAAGGATCCACAAGAAAAAGTTTAGAGCGGGTTCATGGTTTTTACACAGTGGCTGATATGGTACAATTGTTGCATTCTCTGCTTGTTTGTAAAAGGACCGGTGATGGCTTCAGAATCTCTTTGTCAACGCATTGCAGGGGAAATGAGCAATTAATTGGCAAACATTTGGACAGAAACACAAAATACTTACTATGGAGGAAAACATTCACTGTTGAGAAGTATGTTTGCCAAGTTAAAACCATCCCAAGCCCTGAGACTTCAGTGTCAAAATCCGAGACTAAGACTGTCATATAAAATCCAAATTATCTGCTTTGAACTGGATTATATGGCAGTATAGACTCATATAATACAATTCAAAGCAGATAATGTGGATTATCTACTTTGATAATTTAGATTATATGGCAGTGTAGAAGGCGCCTAAGAGAAGATCCAAATAACTTCGCTAATATGATATACTATTGATGTGTTCAGAGAATATAGTTTTGGGTTGTTGCAAGCTTTCCGGGCTTTATGGCCATGTTCCAGAAGCCTTCTCTCCTGATGTTTAGCCTGCATCTATGGCAGGCATCCTCAGAGTTTGTGAG